CGGATTTGGGCTGTACTCAGCAAGCGCAGTGCAGCTTCCAACTCAGATCTGAAAAAAAAATAGTGGATGGTTGTTTTCTGACTGGTCGGCAGACCACCGACCGGTCGGCCCTACTGGTCGGCTGCAATACGGTCGGCGGTCGGGGTCGGCGGTCGGCAGGGATGCAACCATGCCACAAAGAGCAAAAAGTGTGGCGGTGTACCTTTCCATGCTCAAGCGGAAGATTCATTCTCATTGCAATGGTGTTTCTGTTGTTGTTGTTGTTGTTGTTGTTGTTGTTGGTGTTGGTGTTGTTGTTGTTGTTGTTGTTGTTGTTGTTGTTGTTGTTGCTGTTGTTGTTGTTGTTGTTGTTGTTGTTGTTGTTGCTCTTGGTCCCTGCCGCGTCCACAGGTGCATCTGCTTTTTTTTATGAAGAGCGACAACCTCGAGATTTCATCGTGAAACTGACCAGCCCTAGGTAATTCCGGAATTTCATTCATCTCGTTCCAGCTGGATTCGAACTCGCGCTTGCATTTGAACGGTTTATACCAACTGAGCTAAGCGCATTGGTACATCGCTTTTTCCTTCTCTTGACATAGCAAAGGGAGTTCCTTTTTAAGTTTTTTTTTTAAATACCTTGAGAATTACTATTCAATTACAACCCTTCTTTTCCCTCAAAATTTCAGAAACCCTTTGCTTCTGAACTAAATAAAATGTGGTGAGGTCCTATAAATTAAGACTTATGGGTAAAGAGGCAAACAGGCTAACAAGAGGGCATAGGATTTTGAGGTTTTGTTCTGAGGATTTTGGCAAACACATACTGCACTCACCTCTGGATGTGGGCATCAGGCTTGATCCCACTGTGCCAAGACTGTCATCGTCACTCGACTTTGTACTTTCAACAGATCTCTCATCATCGTCATGCATAGCATAATATGACGAACCTCCCCCTCTCCCACACATGGAATTCAATGGGACTAGTCCTCCCCCAACACTTCCAGACCCAACCATAGCCCTTCTCCCTTGTCTGGGGGCAACGCCTGTGATCCCATCACTCACAGAAGATGTATGAACTGCAGTTTCCTCCGCAGCATGATCTATCCCCTCTGCATACCTGCCACTCGGTGTGTTCCGATCTGCTGCCATGGCCCTTCTCGAGGACACCATGGGGGCTGCCGCCGGAAAACTAACTTCAGTACTCACTGCGTTTCCTGAATGTTTTATATTGCCATCTAATCCTATTCCATCAGCTCCAAGTACGCTGTCCCTTACAAGACCGTGCACTGGTGATTGAGACATCAGCACCCGTCTTGCACCTTCCAAGGTAGCCCCTGTCCTTTGTGGAGCAGCACCGGTACTTGAGGCCGATGAAGCGGATGTTTGGGGTGAATTCTGATTGGATGGACCATTGGATGGGCCCTGTGTTGATGGAATTGCAAGTACGAGCCCTCCTGTCAGGTCTCCTCTGTTGATCTCCAGTCTTGAGGGCTTCAAGCCCTCCAAGGGCATTTTGGCAACTGCGCCTAATCCGGATGAAGCAGACGCACGGCAGGGAAGAGGCCTTTCACAAGAATTTCCTGGCTCCTCTGTACTTAAGTTCTCAGACTCCAATACCCCCACCTTTTCTCCAACCACCTTACCACCACCAACCTTTTGTGGAAATCTCTCACATGCTCTCCGTGCATATAAACTGACATAGCCTGGAGCAGGTGCTGCTGCTGCCCGAGTGGGAGATGGAGGGGCAACAACAGGAACCCTTGAAGGTTTGGGTTGATATCCATTACCTTCACTGCCTCCATTCACAGCTCCATTTCCAGGACCACTGCCTGTCCCACCCCCACCTGTGGCCTGTTGTGCTGTCAGAAGACTGAGCCCCTGTCCCGGCTGGCCTGCTGGAGCTGACACCGATCCATGACTAGATGGCACATTCACATTCTGGTTGGATGTACTCAATTGGGCAGTCCCAGCAGAGACAGCATGGCGAAATCCAAAACCCTTCAAATCATGAGATGGCGAAAGAGAAGCTACCTTTGATGAAGTCACAGACTCGTCCTCTGTCAGCAGCTGGTTAAGAAGGTGCAATGCCACAGAAGTCATAAGTTAGGGGTGACCTTCATGTGCATACACCCAAAAACATGCATGTAAAATACAGCCTAAACCAGGGCTGCACCGGCCGCCGGTCGGTTGGACCGGACCGGACCCAACCGGCCTGGTTGGAACCCCTGTGGTCCAACCAGAAATCCAGTTGGGCCAAAAACCAGGTCAACGTTTTTTTTTTTTTTTTTTTTTTTTTTT